TGCTTCCTATATCATTCAACATTTTGTGCATAGGATCTTTCATATCACAATTCAAAGCTTGAATTTTTTTCATCAGTTCATTCCATTTAAGATAAGCACAGGGTGTTCTTTTTTGTTTTCCTAACTCTAGGTTTTTGCATATTTCATTATACTATTTGACTTCATCTTCTTGAGTGTTCTTCGAGATTTTCTATTCTTTGACTTTATCATTTCTTCCTTTTTGCCTTAGCTACTCTGTGATTAAAAGCAAGTTTCAGAATCTCTTCTACACCCCCTTCATCGTTTTTTTCTTTCCTGTCTTTTTAATTATCTTTTGCTTTCTTCGTATATGATATTCTTGATGTCATCCCACAGTTCAACAGGTCTTCTTTCATTAGTGCTTAATGAACCATTTCTGTTCTTGAGACATTCTTGAAATTCTGCTGGGAAATACACTAGGTCGTGTTTTGGCTCTCTTGGACTTGTTTTCATTTTCTTCCATTTTAAAGTACACTTACATATGAGCAATTGATAGTCTGTCCCACGGTCAGTCACTTCCCTTGTTTTACTTGCTGGTATTGAGCTTCTCCATCGTCTCTTCTCACAGATGTAACTAATTTGACTTTTGTGTATTCAATCTGGAATCCATGTGTATAGTCACTATTTGTGTTGCCAAAACTCCACATATTTTCCATGAATAAATCATTGGTCTAGCAGATTTTATCATTCAATGGACAGCTTTATTTCTATGAAGACCATGTTTCCCTACTACTGTTCTTCCTCTTTGTTTCCAACTTTTCCCATCCAATCACCAATAATTATTAATGCCTCTCAAATTCATATGTGATCAATTTCAGAATGAAGATGTTGGTAGAATTTTTCAATTTCTGCATTGCTAGCTTGAGTGTTGATGCATAAATTTGAATAATAATATTGATAGAATTTTCTTTTATGTGGATAGACATTATCCTATCACAGCAGCCTTGTACTTCACAATAGATTTTGCAATGTCCTTTTTGACAATAGATTTTGCAATGTCCTTTTTGACGATGAATGCAATGCTAGTCCTCTTGATGGTGCCTTTCGTGGCTTAGTATGGCCTGATTTTTCTGCTCACAATGGCCAGTGAAAGTCCATGTCAGCTCACTATCACCTAGAATATGGATCTTTATGGAACGCATTTCATTTTTACTCACTTTCAATTTCCCTAGATTCATACATCTTATATTCCAAGTTCTCATTATTAATTAGTGTCTGCAGCTGTTTATTTTCATTTTGAATCATGCCCCATCACCAAATGAAGGTCCCAAAGACCTTCATTTACTCCCACAGATTGTACTTCATCCATGCCGTGATAGTGGACTCTGTTTTAAGAGAGCAGCTCTTCTTCAAGTTATATTTTGAGCGACATCTTTTTGCCTGATGTCTGACCATGTTCTACTTTTACCATTAGGTTTTGGGTAACTGACAATGTGTTGATGCTGTCCATAAGGCGTTCAGTGACTGATTCCTCTGAAGTGGATGGCCTATCCCTATTTCATAGTCTGTTCATGTCTGGAAGCTCAGTTTGAAACCCGTTCACTCAGTGGGACCCTGCTAGTATTTGAAACACCAGGGACATAGCTTTCAGCATCAGAGGAACG